AGGACCAGCGAAACCTAGGTTAAATTCTTCGTTTGGTTCCAATAATGGAGGAAGTTCACTAATTTGTGAATTTGGAATAACAGTTTTCAGATTCTTACCCGCCGATGTGCATTCTGAGCAATTTATTCCATGGAAGTAAGTTTGTCTGTTAATATGAGGCCACCAGATGTATTGGGCCAAATACTTCTTTCCGAATTGGCCTGGATGAGTTTCGAGGAGGGTCTTCATCATTGCGTTTCTCAGGGTAAAAGGTATAACGAGTTTACCGTTCATGTGAAGTAATCCGTCGGATTCGTGTAGATCTCTGGTGAAGTTTTTGAAATAAGGAGAATTTGCATTAATCTTCTCTACCTTATTTTGAAGTGCTTTAACAATTGGATTCAACATGGGATCGTCTTCTGTCAAAAGCGCTACCAGCCTGGCGTTAAATAAAATGTTCAAGTCCAAGGGTCGATCCAGCAACTTCAAGTTTTCGCGGTATTTTTTAACAAGATTAGCATGGTCAGGTAATAGCGGGTAATCTAAATCTACTGAAAAACCGGAAGTGGAGGGATTAATTACAATATTGTTATTATTCATATTAACAGTATCTGCAATTTTTTTTATCTACAGGTGAGTTAATTAATCTACAATTAAGAATTAAAAAAGTAGAAAAATGCGGAATTAGAAATAGAAATAATTAATGTGTTTGTTTTAGAATAATCCGTTGGAATGCAATTTGAGGTACAAAATTCCGTTCTTTTGTGATTAAATGAACAAATTGAGAAAGTCGAGTTAATAAGTTTTAGTACTGACGCTATTAGGTAATTACGTAATAAAGCGTAATTGGAGTTTTCCAGATTAGAGCCAATGGCTGAGCAGGTAATTCTTTGTTTCTCCGACGGAATAATTGATTTGTTAATCTTATTAATATTTGCTACTACAAATTCCTTGTCGTAATGAGATATTGGGAGGGCTTTTACAGATGGAATCCTAAAAATAAGGTCAGTGAAGCCCATATCTTTTCCTGCTAGATGTTTGATTGAAAAATTGAAAGGTAACAATCTGTCTACCCATCTTGTTAATCTACTATGATATGTTTTATTTCCGTGAGTTGGTGATAGAGCGGACAATAGAGCTTTGTGGTCAGTAATAACTTCGAATTTTGATCCGTAAAAGTAATTCTTGTAATGTTCGACGCCCCATACGACCCCTAACAATTCGAGCTCGTTCGTAGAATATTTTGACTCGTGTGGGTTTAAAAAGCGAGAGGCAAAAGAAATTGATTTCCAGTCGTTCCCTTAGAGTTGTTCGAGGGAAGCTCCCAGACCATTGTGTGACGCGTCCGTTTTTACTCTAGTGTTGCGTTTCACGTCAAAATGGGTATTCTCTGCTAGATTTACAATTTCTTGTTTAATTTTTTCAAACGCTTTTGTATGGTCGTCATTCTATTGGAACATCGATTTCCTATTAAGAAGCGGACGAAGCGGACTTCCTAAAGAAGCTAAATTTGGAACAAATTTGATGTACTGGTTTACAGAACCAAAAAATTATCGTAGTTCTTTCAAGTTCTTTGGAATAGGTAAGTCTTTTATTGATTTCGATTTGTCGAATAAAGGTATAATTCCTGATTTTGAGACTTTGAATCCCAACCATTCTGTTTCTTTTTGAAAGAATTTACTTTTTGACTATTTGACCGCGAAGTTATATTCGTCCAGAGTGGATAAGATTTTTAACACAATGTTCTTGTGGTCTAAAAATGTTCCTTTGGAAGCAATTAAAATGTCGTCTAAGTAACAGTTGGTAAAAGGGATAAAACCTAACGTAGAATCCATCACTCTTTGAAATTCGTTAGGCATATCGCCTAGGCCGTAAAAGCCTGTTAAAAATTGGCAAGTACCGGTAATATCACCGCCCACGATACTAAAGTTGCATTGGTTATTAGTAAAGTTATCTAATGCGAGTTGACTGTATGCATTTTTAAAGTCTAAGTTACTAAACCACACTTCTCGAACGGAATCATTAGCGATTTGCGCCGCGACGTTGTCTACTAGTTCGTTGATGTTCGGCATTTGGTATTTGTTATTGTAAATCTGTTTATTTATAAACTTTGAATCTAAAGCTAACTTGATAGATTTGTCTTTTTTGCAAGTAATGACTATTGGGCTAATAAAACGGTCTTCGTCGCAATTTTCTAGTTTTTTAATATGTCCCTCGTCTTTTAATCTATTGAGTTCTGTCTTGACAGAATCCAGTAAGTGAAAGGGAACTCGTCTTCCCTTTAGTTGGATTGGTTTTAAGGGTTCGTGAAAATGAGTGATTTTTGTCTGGTTTTTAATTTTCCCAATCCGAAGGAATAATTTTTTGAATGTTTTTGATATGTTTCGAATTTCCCTATCTTTGTCTGTTTGGGAGATGGAATTTATTGACTTACACTGTTTGTTAGTCTGGAAATGCGGGAAAGGTTTCTGAGAGACTTCTATCCCCACTTTCGGTAGATTGCCATTTCCTAGGATATTTCTCTCGTGTCCTTCGGTCAAAAAGAAATGACAGTCATTGTTTGACCAGCCGTTTGAGAAGATCGGGAGTTTCACCTTTCTAGAAATGTTTATGGCGTTATCTATGAATCCACAATAAAGGTCTTTGGTTGCCTTATCCACCGGATAAATTTTCAAGTAAGGGTCACGTAATTTCAATTCATGTAGTACGTTTTTCTTGAGGAAGCTGACCGGGTTAGCCGAAACCACTCGGATATTTAAAATTACTTGGCTTTCTTTTCAGAGTCCAATATTCAATAATTTCTTCAATTCTTTTCCATCTTCGCCGAAAATCGTAGTTACATTTAATACAGAATAATCGTCATTTTCGCTTTGTCCAGATTCTGACCATGCGTTTATGAAGCCACAACATTCTCTATCCATGTGGTCAGTATTTACATCCGGAATATCCGACGGATTAAAATCTGTATTATCTACAATTTGAGTATTTACAATGTTTACATTTTTACGACGAGATCTACGAAGTCTGGTAAAATGACCTTTAAATTTACAAGAAGTACAAGTAGTGTCATTTGCTGGGCAAACTGCTAGATGGCCTTTTGAGAAGATTCCGCCGCACTTCATACAGTGTTGCTTTTTTCGATATTGAGAGTTGGTTCTCTTTTGACGTTAAAATGGCTGTCTGATTTATGTACGGATGATCCGTTGGATTTAAAATTGTTTGTTAGCTGTAGGTGGTTTAAAATTCCCTTTTCGTCTATAAGTGCTACGTTTAGTGCTTCGCGTGGGGGAAGGGTTTCGGTTAGCAGTTTTCTTTGAATGTCGTAGTTTTTCATTTTGTTTATGAAAATGTCTCGTATCCACTCTTCTTCTTCTGCGGTTATATCGCACTTTTTTGCCATTTCAGCTAGGGCACCCCAAAATTGTTCGAGCGATTCTCTGTCCCGTTGTTTTCGGTTTAACAATCTATGGCGTTCGAATGTGACATTTGTCTTTCTTACGAAAGCGATCGGTAGAGAATCCCAGAATTCTTTAAAAGAGATTTGTAGGACGTTCACCTTGGTAAATTTTTGTCCGAAGATCCTTTTTCCTTCGTTTCCCAGTGCTAGATATAGAACCGAACGTAATTTTTTATCAGCTTCTTCTAGTCGCATTCCATTGATTTTCTTAGTTTCAGATTTGATCGCGGCTGATTCCTCTTTGTCGTATCGTCTTTGTTCCTGGGTATTTCTCTCCATTCTCGAGCGTCTTTGGGAATCTGTTTCTCCATCCGTCGGATTTTCCAAATTTGGAGGTTGTGGGTGATGTCTCTCCGAAGAATTTAGTAAATTTTCTATATCTATGTTCTCTTTAGCAATTATAGCTAATTGAAACAGATCACTCCAGTCTTCCCAGGGAATGGGGGGTCTACAGTATGTTTTTGCCAAAATGAAGGTATTCCTCTCACGTTAGATTCGTTATATGACTGCGCCATGATAAAATGTTACTTTGGGGTAGCTAATTCTAAGTTAAAACTATTAAAAAGAATAAGAATTAGGATGAATTAGTCGGTAATTAAATCATTAAAACAATGAGAGATCATTGTCTCCGCCGGAGAGAACGGCCAATGAAGGTCATAGAGGACTGACCTGTTAATTTAAACTAAATACGTTTTGCAAAAAATGCAAAATATGATGCAATCACAACAACGCTATAAAGACCCTATTTAGATAAAGTTTTCCTGCGTCGCAGGCAAATTTGGAAAAACTGGTCAAAATGCCGTTTTCGGACATTTTTTTGGAAAATTTTGATCAGAAAATTGCGTTTTTTGGCTCGCGCTCCTCTTCAAGTCAGTATATATTGGTGCCCAAGGCGCCTCTAGATAAATTTTAGGATAAGTCGACCAAAAATGGAATTCATTAAATAATATCAAAGGGGGGCCCTTTGTTTGGCGAGGCGGTCGAATCTCCACGGAGCTAAGCAAACAAAATGAAGGCATTTTGTGGCTAAGCGAATAACTGTTTCGAAAAAACTTTCCCTCAAATTGCACGAAAATCAATTTCGAAAAGACTCAGTCAATTTTTTTTTCGGCGCTTTTAAGTAACATGAGCATAATCTCGCATATTCACGAAAATGAAGAATATCTGCTTCTGTTAGTAGTGCAGTATGAGTAAAACTAAATCTAGCACTGGTTTAACTTAGGTGCCTAAATCTCGTAGTTTTGTTTATTCTAACCGTAGTTTTTATATCGAGTTATTTTTTCTTTTTTTTCTGCAACTAAATTTTTGCATTTTTGTTTTTAACGCTGAAGAGAACTTGCCAGTAAGATTTTAACTCCAAGAAAATTTGCCATTCCTTTGTTTTTAATAAAAGCATCCCCGTGAAAAATGAAGCACAAATTTTATCACATCTAAACTCCACTTTCCTCGGCTTTTTTTTTGAAAGTTTGCTCATTAGTATAATTTGGCAGATTGTTAATGGGATGAATTTTTCCCGGTGGAAATTTTTAGTATCCTATCTTTAGTATTCTTTGGATAGAAAAAAAAGACAAAACAGTATTTCAATTCATATTTCTGCTCATTCTTGCAACTTTTCTAATCTAGAATATGAATCTGCGGTCACTTGTATCAAAAAGACTCAGAAGTTGTTATTTACTTTGTGAATATCAAGAGAAGTAACCAAATCTACTCTTTTCCACAGTTACCTACAATCATTTTTTAAAATTTAGGATAAACCGTCTTCATTTTAACAGAGTTTGGCATAATGAAGAGGAAAGAGATGCTGCAAGTTTTTATTTTCATTTGTTCAAAAATCATATTTATCGTTGTGTCATTTTTTTCAGAAATATTATAAAGATTGGGGGCAAAATGGTAAAGGGTCTTCATTTTTCAGCTTTTAAAATATATCATCTAAAATTTACTCTTCATTTTGTATCAAAAAGAAAACTTCTGAATTTACAGCCGCCACACTTTCATGACAGCGTCATCTCCAAGTCGCTTATTTCGAATTGTGTTGGATTGTTGAAGCCAGAATTCAGCATGCTTCTGCTTTGTGGTGCGCCCTCTCGTGGTAAAATCAAATCGTTTTGGTAGTCCAATATCTTTCCGAGATCTGTTGCTTCTTCGGTGCCGAGAAAGTATTTCATCTGTTCTTTCTGAACGTCGCTCAATCGATTTAGTCGATCTTTCAAACTTTCCAGTTCCTGCATGTATAATTTGTCCACCTTAGAACAGATTGTATCATCGCTGTAACTTTTCTCGATTCCGTCGATTTCGCCTTTTTCAATGAAGGTCGCGTTTTTCAGACTAGCAACTTCTGACAAGTGCTCTGCTTCGGTAAATTTGGGCGCTTCTCGTTGCACGGCGCTCTCGACTCGCAAATTTGGCCGCTCGTGATTATGATTCGCATTAGACTTCACTTCGCTCAAGTCTCGGTACCTTTTTTCAACTTTGTTCAGCCTTTGTTTCATTTCATTGTAAGAAGCCAAAGGTACAGAGTCGTCCAGATTTTGTTTCTCTATTGTAAGTTCCATTTCTTTAGCTTCTAAAGAGTCCGATTTCTGTTTAATTCTGGCCAGTTTTTCAGCGAAGTTTCGTTTCTTCTGCAGGTGGATTTGTGCCGCTTTTTTCAGTTTAACATTCAATTTTTCCACTTGGTCTTCCAAGTACTGATTTCTTTCAGTGAGTCTCAGCTTTTCTTGTGCCCATTGTGATTCATGGTGAGACCTTTCAGCGTTCGTTCTTTGTGCTAAAGTGTCCAATTCTTGTTTCAGGAGCTGATTTTGTTGTTTGAGGGATTCATTTGTTGATCTCAGACGCTGAAGGTCCGTCATCATTTCGGATTCAATGTTCTGAGTCGACAGTAGTTCGTTTTGAGCTGTTGTCAGTTTTTTCCTCGAGTTTGCATGCTCATTTTTCTCTCTTTCCAACTCTTTTTCAACATTTTCTTTCATTTCTAACTGAGATTGGACGATGCTTAATTGCTTCTCGATTTCCATTTTTTGTCTCTCCATAGCGCCGATTTGCTCTTGAAGTCTCAACTTGGAATCGTTTTCACGAGAAATTAGCTCGCTTTTGAAGTTTTCGTAATCTGAAACTTTAGCTTCCAGCTCGGCATTTTTGTCTTGCAAGTGAGCAAGTTTCATCCAGTCAGAATCTTTTGCGCTTTGGACTCTGCGGGTGACTTCTCGTTCTTTTTGTGCCAGTGCTGTTTTCTGTTTTTCGATCACGTGGTTCGCGGCTTCTAACTTAGTGGAAATGTCCTCATTTTCAACCTTCAAAGCGTCTCGTTCTTTGACTACATTGTTGTATGCGATCATAGAGTCAACTTTTTGGTTATTTTGTGTCAGCGATTCTTCGTGACGAATTTGCTCGATTTTGTTTTTGAGGCTTAAATTCTCTTTTTCGACCTGCAAAAGTTTTTCATTTTGAGTCCCGTTGAAGTTGTTCGATTTCTTGATTTCGTCTTCCAAATTTTCGATCTGCGATTTTAGGCTGGTATTTGTCGCCTCGAGGATTTTTATTTTCCCGTTCAGTTCAGTCAAGTGCTTAGCTTGAAATCGACTGATGTGGTTGCTGGCGTCGGTTCGATTCTCAGCTTGTGCGTCTTTTTCTTCAATTGTCTGCTCCAACGATTTAACTCTGTGGGCTAAATGTGCATTCTCTCTGACCAAATTTTTTACTTTCTCCGATTCCCGTTCTGCGTTAGAACTGAAGTTTTGAATGATTTCTTCTTTTTCACGAGTGAAACAGTCGACTTCATACGAATGCTTCATTTCCAATTCAGCAATTTCTCTCTCGTGTTCCCGTTTTGTGAAGTCGTATTCGGATTTGAGGAAGGTGATGTCGTGTCGGAGGGCGTTGTAGCGACTCTGATACTCGTTCAACTCGTCCTCCATTTGTCCCATTCGGAGCCGAAAGGGAACCTAATTAGACCGAATAAATTAAGTCATGAAAATGAAATAACTTGATTGAGCAAAAAAAAACCACAATGAGAAAATGTATCCTAATGTGTATCTTAATATCAATGATCATGTTTTATGTTAGCACTGGTTCAATTGCTTATCAGAAAAATGAAAGTTAGTTGAAAAGTTATTGTGTTTGCCACAAAATTATTGTGTTTGCTAGAGCGTTGGTAACTGACAAACATTTTGACGTCTAATGGTGCAGGGGTTTCATCATACTTGAGAAAAACCTAATTTCAATTCGTGGCAATTTTGGTAGTTTCAGAATCGCTTGCACAAGCAAAGTTATCTGGTTATCAGATAACTTACCAATTAAAAACTAGTTGGTCGGATGAGACTTCTGGAATGATTTTTAGAAAATAACAAAAAAAGTAGCATTATTGTTTTAATCAGAGATATCAAAATATAATTTTTTTCGCTGATGTTTGAAAAACTCATATGCAGGTATGCTTTCTTAAGCGGAGAAAGATCAATCTCAAAACCTTCACCTGTAATTCTTGGACGATCTCCGCTTTTATTGATTCGTATTTCTCCGGTGTCAACGTAAACTTCCTCAACCCGCTCATCACCGAATCTTTCGTCGCAATTTCATTCTCCAGTTTCCGAATCACTGTTTTGTACTTCTCAATTTCGTCTTTGTGCATGTCGGAGAAATGAGCGCTCGGCGAAGTTTTGTCTCGCAGAAAGTCGAAGTCTTGTTGGAGTCTTTCGTATTGCGACTTCATGGAAATGTAATTGCTTCGGTGTTTGTCGGAACGCATTTTCTCTTCGGCAAGCATTTTGTGCAACTCACCTTCTTTCCTTATAAGGGGTAAAACTTGTTCCATATTTGGCATGGATGTCGAAAGCGCACGTGACTCCAAAATCCCGCTTGGGGGTTTTTTATCGCCCATTTCAAGTTGAATTTTTAGTCAATTATGAATGAACGCCGCTTTAGAATCATTTCGAGTTTGAGCGGTAAAAACTTCGTTTTGTGGTTTTGACTGAATGGAACGATATGATACACAAAATGGCTACTTTAATGAGCAAAATCAAAGTTTTTTTGGTAATAAAAGTAAATGGCTCGAAAAAAATCTTTGTTAAATATGTAAAAATGCATAAACGCACGAAACTCATTTATTCAAGAAGTTTCAAATGTATTCGTCAAACTATGCGGGTAATTTACTATTTAAAGTTTCACATGTATTTTTCAAACTATGCGAGTAATTTACGATTCATAGATACAGAAAATAAAATTATGAAAAATGCAAGATCTCGAAGTGGCAAATATGGCATTATCATTGAGATTATTTTCTGTGATATGCAATTACATGCACTTAGAGCTAAAAGTTTAAGTCAAGATATAAAATCAGTAAAAAAAGATTTAAAACGTTATAAGCATTTAGTAAAACTGTAAATTAAGACTTTTCACGTGCGTTTTAACAATCACTAAACACGCATATTGTTGGTGCGTTAACTGGAAATATTAATGCATGGATTTCGGAGCTGTCAACGCTTCCGGTAGTTCGGGATACGGAACAGCCGGGACTCGAACCAGTGGCGGTGTCTCTGGAGTTCTCCCTCTGGGCAAGTACGACCCGCTTCCCGGAATAACTTCACCACGGCCGGATCAATCAAACCAGATGACGATGGCGGACCAGTATCCTCCTCAGTTGATGATGGGCAGTAAAATGCCCCTGGATTTCCAGAGGATGCAAGCTCTGGAGTTTAGAGTAGGTTAGTCCCAGCTGATGAACCAAAAACTGTGATAGGGTTTCTTGCTATTTTGGCTATGAATTTATTGTTCTCTATAATAATTGATCCTCTGCTCTTGATTTTAAATATATTTTCTCTAATAACTGTTATTTTTGAATTTTGCGATTGAAATTTATAATAGAAAAGTTGAAGCTTTTCAAAATTTTTTAACTCAATATTATACAAACAACGCTTTACACTGCAAAGAAATAACAGACAGTTTCCCAAAAAAATGTTCTCGTGTAGTAGGAAAATGGTTCTATGCATAAGTTACACACCGGAGGCACACCATAAATCGGATAATTTGTTTTGATTCGTTTTTTCTTCCAAAATAAATTTTCTTTTGTAAGATAATTAATTAAGAAGAAATACAGGTTTTGTTCGAATCAATTGAACTACGGGAAAATTGTTTGGGTCAATAAATCTTCAAAAGACTTGGAACAAAAAGAGTTAACGGCTCAGTTAAATTGAGCAGACAAGTTAGGCTAATGGAAATTTGGGACCTTTGAATCCTGGCTGGTTCTCCTCAAAAACCACTGATGGCTTCGTGGTAGCTTGATGAACATCAAAAAATCGAAACCTGGTAGTTTGCTTGTCTCAAAAATTTCGAGGTATCCTTTTTTTATTGATATTCTTTTCTGATCTTTGTCATATTATTTTCTTCGCAAAATATATGCCTCCTGAAGAAACTATCTATGAATATAAAATGTGGCTTCCAGGATTTAGGAATATTGCGAGTCGGAGAGTTTTCTGGTCGATTTCTTAGGCTCAACCAAACTGATCTTGCGATATTTTCTGAATCACTGAAAAGACCCTATTTAGGCCGATTTTTTTTCTAACAATGTAACAGAAACGCAGAAATATTTTGACAAAAAACTGATTTTAAAAATTTTTTAATGTTATTTTTTGACAAGGGGGACACAAAATACTGACAAGGGGGACTCTTCGGATAGGATGTGCTATTTTGAATTTTGAGTTAATTCAAAATTGTAAATTAGAATAGCCTTTCTTGAAGTTCATAAGTTCATAGAAGGCATCCGATAGAACAACAAATTTTTCAATTGATTTCAGAGTTTCCAGTGTATGAGCTTTGCTTACAGTTAAATGGAAAAATACGTCCCATAAGATATTATGACTAACAAAATAGTTTGAAACTTCATGTTCCAAAAGCCTGTATTAAAGTTGAATGATAAAAACACCCAATA